TCATCTATGTAAGGGACCCTCTGAAATGAACTTCCCCCAAGCTGAGTGGCCTTGGTCCCAGCAGCCCCCTTGGCTCCCTCACCCCAGGCTTCTCCCTGGGAATGGCACATCATTGTGGGGATTGCTGGGCATGCTGGGACTTGGCAACACTAACCTTGAAATGAACCCAGAGCCTTAGTTTCCTCATCTGAAAGATGGGGTAAGACCCTCATATTGCCTCTTTTGAACAGATAATGGATACAAAAGAGTGATGTAAACTGCAGTGCACCATGGACAGACACATCAGGTAAAGTGTTTTGATTTGGGGTAACAAAAATTACCTAAGTTTAAATATAGTTATAGTCGTACGATTGTCAATGTATTAAAATGTACTGATTCTTAACATTTTAAATTTATAAATTGTGTAGTATACAAATTTTGTTTAATGAAGTAGTTTTATTTGAAATTTTAAAAATAAATTGCTAGTACAGGACTGACTAGTGCAACCATCCCACTAGTAGTATGTTCCTACTGTACCTTTTAGAAAATATCTTGCTCCTCTGGGGTCAGAACTGGGGGCACAGCCCTCACTTGGCCTTACCTGGATAACTAATAACTGCTACTGGTCTCTCCCTTTTTCCTCCATCACTCTAAAGCACTGCTGCTTCACCAGCCCCCACTCTTCCTGGCTCCTCTGCCAAGTAACCAGGAGGAATAACACCAGAAGTGATGGCCAGCATCCCTGCTGCTGGCTAAAATTCACTGCATACCATACTGGGAATTGGACAGCTGGAATGATATGCAAGCTCACTTAGCTTGGGCCCCGGGTTTTCAGTAAAATCTGTGAGGCTCAGGCAGGTCCCAGTACCAGCCAGGTACCAGCAAACCTAGTTCTGGAGGCCTCCCTCACAGCCCTACTCCTCGCACCTGCATTTGTGGCAGCATTGCTGTCATGAACACAGACCTCAGCTGCTCAGCCAGGGGCAAGCCCCTTGATCAGATAGAGCAACTCCTAGGGTAATTTTCTCCTGCAAGCCTTCCCAACACCTCTGGGGAGAGTTATAAAATACCCACTCCATCAGAGATGTTCCAGGTGGCCTAATCGGCTCTGAGAATAACTTCTACACTCACCGCAATCTTGGTGGCTCTCCTGCGGAGCAATAGCTTTGGCTGGTTGAAGTCTGCCAGCAACTTGACTCCCTTTTCAAACTGTCAACACAGCGGTATCATAGCCTCGTTAAAATTGATGTCAGCACAATGTGACAGGGCTGGAGAAAGCAGTTCATAGAAAAGGGCAGATAGAACCTGCTTCACGGTTCTGCCTCACCACCCATCCCTGGTAGCAAGGCAGTGTGAGGTAAACAGGAATGCTAGGCCAGGAAAGGACTGCATGCTCCTGTATCTAACCCAACTGTGCATCACTTACGGAGATGGAGAGGGGCAGAGCACGAGCATCTCCTCCAAGATGGCAAGTTCCAGTGGCCGGAGTGAACTATAGGGAAGAGTACAATGCTGATGACAGGGTTTCTAGGCTAGGTTCTCTGTAGTTTTTTAACAGCAATGCTGGGGGGCTTGGACTTTGTGCATGCCAGGCAAGTGCTCTGCCACTGTGCCACATGCCAGCCCTCCTAGGCTAGGTTCTTTTACTACTTTACCAAGACACTGTGGGCCAGTCTTTGGCCCTGCCCCATTCACCCTCCCAATTTCCACATTAAGCACAGAACTGAGGCTTCAAATGAAATGGCTGACATTTCACAGGTAGGTGTTTGTGGAACACACCTTCACTCGCCCTGCACGTCAGAACTGGTCATCCAGCCTTGCAGCTCCCATCCAGTTGGTCATTTTGTACTCAAATATTTGTTGCAAACCCACTAAATGCAGTTCTCTTTCATGTAGGAGACAATGCCAGAAATAGGTACTGCTGTGACATCACCAAAAATCTCATTATTGGTCCTAAGGGCAGGACCTAGGGCCTCAACATGCTAGGGAAGCTCTCTACCACTGAGCTATATAGCCCAGCCCTGATACTCAGGACTTCATAGCAAGGTTCTTTCACCACAGCCTTATGTCTCTCCCAGAGGGCAGAATTATGTCAAAGGATCCTGGTACCCGGGATAGAACTCAGGACCTTCTACTTGTGAGGCAGGCACGGTGCCACTGAGCTAAATCCCTGGCCCCTGGAAAAATAATTTTAAAAGAAAAATGACAAAAATCCTGGCTTGAGGATGCTTAAGCATCTCACTGGCTACATACGGAAAGTCAAGCAGTGGATGCACCAAAGTTTTGACCAACAAGGCTCTACAGTGGTGGCAAACCTGTGGCATGCATGCGACTGTGTTTTTATGACAAAAGATGTTAATGTAGAGTTGCTTTAATTAAAACCTCAACATTTAGGTTTAACTGGTGCTGGCACTTTGCAATGAATGTTTTGAATTGATTTGGCAGTCCTTAAAAGGTTCACCACTACTGCTCTATGCAAAAGGTCCAAATTTCTTTAGTCTATTTCTGTTGTTTTCCCTTCAGTAGATAAATCTTTTTTAAGAAACAGGATCTTGCTATGTAGTTCAGGATGGACTCAAACACAGCGATCCTTTCACCTCATCCTACTGAGTGCTTGGATTTTAGGCATGTGCCACTAAATCTATTTTTATATAAATGTTCCCATCAATTCGCCACCTTTAACTTATTTGGATAATTGTCTTTTTTCTCCATTTCTATTTCTGAACCTTATTTGCCCACACAGCTTGAATATTTTTCTCTCTAGGAAAATTTCCCTAGAAAGGACACGACCTCGCCAGCCTCTGCACTACAGTAACTCATGTGGGGTTCTTGTTCCCAGGTCCTAAGTAAAGATCACTCCTGGGCTAATGTCACTTTCCTTACTACATACTGTGAGCACCAAAGGCTGGCGTGTCTCTAACCCAATCAGGCTCCCTCTCATCCAGTCAATAAGCCTGGGCTAGGCTAGGTATTTGGTAGACACTAGAAGGTTCCATAAACTTGTACTTTCAGGAAGAATTATTCAAAGTTACCATGTTTGGTACTTAACATATAAAACACTGACAGAAGAAATCATTTTGACAATGCATTAAATATTTGCTAAGTGACAGAGAAGACTGTGGTTTTGGAAGTCAGTTAAACCAGAAATACCTTTTTTTTTTTTGGAGAGGGTCTTGCTACGTAGTTCAGGCTGGCCTTGAACTGTGTAGCCCAGGATGGCCTTGAACTCAAGGCAATTCTAATGCTTCATCCTCTCAAGTGTTGGGATTACAGGTGTGCACCACCACTCCTTGCTCAAATTGAGTTTTAACTTTCTTTGCAAATAATGAATACTTAAAAGCAGATGGGCAACTTAATTTTAAATTATGTAAGTTAGGGGCCCAAATCAGACTAAGTTTTCCTGTATAAAAGTTAGATTCCAATCTTTCATATTATTTTTAAAAGCATTCCACAGCTACAGATACACTGTAGCAAAATAATTCTCAAATCTTCTACTACAAAAAAAGAAAAAAAACCCAAAAAACTATTATGGACAACACTGTCATATACGTATTTCCACTAAACAGCCAAGCCACTGAATAAACAGGGAATACCTTCCCCTTTCCCTCAAGCCCCTTAAGATGACTAAGAATACAGAAAATTTCCCCTTCTGTTAAGGCAGAGCTGGTCTTAGGCAGTGCCTATGGGTGAGGCTTTTCACACAGCACTGCCTCCTTAGCATGCCTATATTGCTAACAAACCAATCTGCTTTCCCTTCAGTCAAACCATGCACATTCAGTGTTGTGCAAAACCCATTTTCCTCCTCCAGACCTCTGTCAGTGAGGGTCACAGATCATCAGTGTTTAAAGACTTCACAAGATATTTGGTTATACCCCTTCAATTTTAGACAGGGAGGGACCCAGAGATCAACACAAGGTCATAGAGAAAAAGTTGCAAAGCCAGTAGAATTCAGATCTCTTTTGAGACTCTAGTTAAGGACTGTGTGTGTGTGTTTCAGGCAGGGTCTCACTACGTAGTTCAGGGCAACCTTGATCTTGCTATATAGCCCAAGCTAGACTTGAACTCATGGTCTTCCTGCCTCAGCCTACCAAGTATTGGATTACTGGCACGTGTCATCATGTCCAGCTTGGTTAAGACCTTTTTTATATTATAGCCTCTTTTTCTTTTGGTACTGGGGATCGAACTCACATCCTTGCGCTTGCCAGGTAGGCCACCGAACCGCTGAGCTAAATCCCCAGCTATAGCCTCTTTTTCTTAATTCATATATTACTCAACTTTAACATTATTTTACTAGGTTTCACTGATCTCAGAGCATCCAATTCTAAATATTATTAAAAGGTGCTAGGATTGAATCCAAGGCCTCATGCTTGCTAGCTAGGTAAGAGCTCAGCCAGAAATCTATTCCCAGCCCCTAAACATTTTTTAAAAGCCTGCATTTCTCCTGTAGTCATCAAGAACGATTAGACACTCAAAGACTCCATACATTTGTGCATTCATTTTTCTATTAACCACCAATATAACACCAAAAACAAAAACACCCGTTCTCTAGTATTTTAACATAAGCTTCCTTTACTATTATAGCTGAATTTAAAAATGTAAGCATACAACTAGGATTTACCAAAGAGTAACGTGTTTATTTCACTTAAAGTCTTAAAAATACTTTTGGCAGTTGTCACATTAATGTCCTATTGTTAAGAAAAAATTCATTAAAAAAAAGCATGAAAAAACAGACCCAAAATGTTAAGATTTTATTTACAAAGCTTTTTTGTTGTACAGAAAGTAAAAATGCTGTTACAATCTCAGTGTAACTGGTAGCCACAGATGGTTGACTCACCAATCACAGCTATCCAGGCTACAGCAAGAGTCTTACACAAAAACCTAACAACGCTTACAATTTTGTTGGGGGCAAAGTCTCCAAGCTTGGTGGTGGATTACCAAGAGGGACTAAATGGAGGAAGGTGGAATGTCACAGGAACTATTCTTTGGCTCTTTGGGTGGGTGGGTGTGTCCTGGGGTTTGTATCACAGCTACCTTTTTTTTTTTTTTTTAAACAGCTACCAAATCCATGAGCAGTCCAACCAATACTGAACAGTTCTGTTTTTGCAGGTTATTTGGGGTATTAATCATCTTCTCCTTCATCATCTGTTTCTCTCTTCCTTTTTTCACCTTTTCCACTTTCTTCCTCCTCTGTACAAATTTAAAAAAATGACTTTGAGAAGAAAAGCATGTTTTCTGAGACAGTACTGATGACATAACATTATTCTGCTTAGGAGATACAAGACAAACAAAAAATAGGTTTTTGTAGGACTTTAATTTTTTAATTAAAAATTTTCCTGTGGTACTGGGAATTGAATTCAGGACCCTGTGCTTGCCAGGCAGGTGAAGCACCACTGAGCCATATCCCTGGCCCTCTTAGGATTTTTATGTTCTTACAGTATTTGAAATGGTGACAGAAACCTGTTTTATCAACTAGTAAAAATTCATCACTATCTTAATGAAACTAACTAAATCTATATTAAATCATATTTCAAAAATCTCTTGAAGCCAGTGACCAGGTCCTTCCCAGTGTAATACCCATTCGTTCACTACTTGGCATAGGGTGGATGCTGAACAAATATGAACCAATGCAAAGCAGAGCAACAACCTGGTTCTCTGAAGACCTAAACAACCAGGAGAATCTCAATGCATAGTAAATAAATAACATCCATTTCACTATACTTAATTGTGGTGGGGAAAGAAGTAATATGATAAAACTGGAAAGGTACTATTTATACATCCTAGTAAATTATGACCCAATTAGTAAGCCTTTTTAATGAAAGAAACCCAACACAGAAATCTCATATTTGCCAGTCCAAGAGAGATCTAAAAGCACTTGAGACATGGAGATCAAGGACTAGCCAGACACCAACCAGGGCCTCAAGCACCAGCAGGTCTTGTAGCACTATTGGGAAAGCTGTACCAGCTCAGGTGCACAAACAAGACCAAAAGGAATGCAGGCTAAGGGCATTTTATTATCTTCTCAGTGGTATGACATCCTAAATAATGGACCTCTTCATCCAACTCTGTTTTGAGATAGGGTCTAGTTATGTCTGTAGTCCAGGCTGGCTTTGCATTATGTAGCCCAGGCTGACCTCAAACGCATTATTTTCCTGCCATAACCCCTCCACTGGTGGGAATACAGGCATGTGCTATCATGCTGGCTTTCATCTAACTCTGAGATCTAAAATGCACGCATTAGACCCACCTTCATCCTCATCTTCATCCTCATCCTCCTCATCTTCATCAATTTCTCCATCATGTCCAAATTCTTCTTCCTAAAGAATAGTAAACAATCTAACATTATAAAGTTAATCCTGCCAAATCAATGAATAAAAAGGAAATATACTACAAACAAACTCCACTTTTTGGGGGGCAGTACTCAGGATTGACCCCAGGGCCTCATACAGTCCAGGCAAATTCTAAGCCACTGAAGTACATCCCCAGTTACAAATAAATCTAACAATAAACCAAGAAGAAAAGAGTAATGTTATTTTTATTTGATTACTACTTTGCTGTGTGAAGTGTTGATTTTCTTTAATAGGCATCTTTAAAAGTTTTTACTCAGAAGCAAGCAGTTTATCTGTCAGATAAGTTTAATTAGTATACAACTTAAAATGAAAAATTAAAAAAATGATTTTAAAATCTTGAATTTCACAGATTTGGACAATCGTTTCTATATTACCCTTTTGTGTGTGTGTGTGTGGGGGAGGTTTGGGGATTGAATCTAGTGCTTCATGAAAATCAGCCCAACCAAGGAGCTATAGGTCTCCATCCTGCATACCCATTCTTATACAAAACTCCCCTAGGACTGTAAGTCATCAAATACCTATGAGATCATACAAATGCTTTACTTATATACAAGAACATGCTTAATGAAAACATTCTCTGCCTATTTTCCAAACCTCCTTGAGAGTTAAGGTATGCTTACTCCTTTCTCCTATCCTCCTAGGGTCTCCATGGTTATTGTATTATTTGGTGCTCCAAAAACTAGACTACCTGCTCATTTAGGACAGGACCACATTCTCACTTAACACTTCTTCCAATATAGCAAGAATATATTTACTGAACAAAGCTAAATATACAAAAAGAACTTCAGACTTGGTAAACACAGTTCTTTTTAATACAAAGGACGAATTATTAATTTTCAGCATTTCCAGTTTTTCCATCATAATGAATACCCAACTCATTCCTTTCTCTCAAAGTTGAAGGGCCAAAACTTATCTTGCAGAGTTGAGCACTGTGTCCAGTTAGGATTCAGTAAGCGTATCACCTGATATTTGAAGGGGTACAAATGCTAGAGATATAGCTTAGCTCAGTGGTAGAATAGTTTCTTAGCCTGTGTTGAGGCCCTGGATTCAATCCTTTGCACTACAAAATAAATAGGGACAAAGACTGAGTTAATCTGACTCACATATTTATTCAGAAAGCTTTTTCCTTGTCTTTCTTAACCCATTTTTGCCTTTGCTACAAAAAAGGAGCAGATACAATGGACTGGGGATATAGCTCAGTGATAAAGCACTTTCTAACACGTATGAAGCCCTAGGTTCCATTACCAGCACTACAAAAATAACCATACTGGTGCCCTGACCTCACTGACTTCATCTTCATCTTCATCTTCGTCTCCTTCTACGTCTTCATCTTCATCCTCTTCTTCATCAAACTCTTCCTCCTCACCATCCTCATCTTCTTCATCCTCCTCATCTTCTCCTTCTGAAAACAGTCCAAAATGGAATTCATTAAACACCTTAGATACACTATGGAGTACAACTGTAAGGGTATATGGGAGCCATGGGCTGGCCCTCAGGACAAATGCTGGGCCACTCCAACATTAGCCTAGACTCACAGCCATCCTCTTTCTACGAGGTTGGTAACTCAACCCCTTCATCCAAGTGCACCACAAAATCAGGAGGCATGAAGTCCTGGCAAACTAGATGTACAATACCACTTCAACCGATGAAATGCCTAAGATTTATTTCAAAATAATACAGCAGGGGGACACAGGCAGAAGAATGCATACATACAGAACAAGATCAGCTCTGAATGATGAGAACACAGGTTTGTTCTATTATTTCTACTTTTGTCAATGTCTGAAGCTTTTCACCATAAAAAGTTAAAAACAACAACAACAACAACAAAAAAACCAAAACAACAAAGCAAGCTCCCTTGCCTTGAGTAATGGTCAGAGTCAGGCACTCTGATCACAGACCTGGAAAGCACCCCTAGAACCTGCTGTGCCCTGATCACAGTATAGTTTGGGCCTGGCTCTACCCTACTTCTGTGCACCTCTGGTGAGACAGCAACTCTCTCTATTGGTCTCAGGACTCACTGCTCTCTCTTGCCTCCTGAACATTCTGCCCTTTCTTCTCTGCATGCCCAGCTCTGACCATAGTCCCAGGACTTCTCCAAGCAGGTTTGCCAGACCGCTTTAGCCCAAGCTAGAGGCTCTTCCACAGGCACCCAAGGCTTCTCTATTATTCCATACTTTTCCTGTAACTTTGACTAATGAAAAGAAAAAAAATTCTCCTTTGTAGATAGTACTCTACAAGTGGACAGGGACCATGTCCTTTTTTTCTCAATGTTTACCACAATGCCTCGTACACAGGAAATCCTCTAATATTTGTTGCCTGACTGATATCTGTGCTTAGGAACTGGCCCCTCTCTCCAAGGAGTTTCCAGCAGATTGAGGCAAACTTAGGTAACAAGCAGTTTTTAGGAATAAATGGAAACCTACAGTGAAGGGAAGAGCCATAAACATTTGGAACTAGGTTAGATGTCTTACTCTTTGTCCACTTACTACTATGTATCTCATCAATCTTTGCCTGTCTCACTTGGCTGCAAAACAAAACCATAAAAATGTTTCCAAATCCTGTACTAACATTAATTGCAGCAAAACAGCCTAATGTATTTCCCTCTTCCTTTTTCTTGGCTATTTCTACCTTCAGCATTAACTGGCCAGCCTGAACTACATAGTAAGACCCTGTCTCAAAAAGGGGTGGTGGGGGAGGATTAAAAGTGTTTCAAATATAACAATGGCATGAAGTCCACCAGTATTAGAAATTTTTCTTTCTTTTTTTTTTTTCTACGTAGCTTAGGCTGGCAAACATATGAATCCACAGTTCCATAAGAATTACAAGTAAGTTTTATGGGTTGGGTGGAGTAGTCAATGCTCTCTAGACTCAAAATTTAAGGACCATTTGCTAAAAAACCACTTTGAATCATTTGAACATGTGATTTTCCTGTCTCAGCCCCCGAAGTGCCAGGATTATAGGCATGTTCTACCATGTCCAGTAGCATCAGGAATTATGAGACCAAGTTTCTTCAGGCTGAATGATGCAAAAACAAATCTCACTGATTCCAATATGCCAACCTTTCTTGCACCCAGGACTGGTTTTGTGGAAGACACTTTTCTAATGGACTCATGGGGATGGAAGAGAAGATATATAGTTTCAGCGTGATTCAAGCCCATTAAATTTATTGTACCATTTCTATTATTACTACACTGTAGTACATAAGGAAATAATTACACAAGTCATAAACTTGTTTTCGTGCAACTGGATGGTCCCTTTTAGGGATGCTTAGAGAAGACGATGACACCTGGCGTGTTGCTTATGTCTAGTCTACTCTCTAATCTCATTTCGGCTGCTGTCAATGCAGAAAACCCTGCTTTTCACAAAAATAGGAAGCTGGAAATAGGAGAAGGCTTTTTTGTGCTTCTATAGTAATCTCAGGACAATCCACTTGACTTTAATCCTGAAAATATGGAGATCTGAAGTTCTCTGAACTCACTTTAAGGCCACCATCACATGCAATCTCATGTAGTTGATTTTCTTCTAACACAGACAAAGCTGATCACCTGCCTTATTCACAAGTGGGTTGCAAATCCATTCCTTTTGTTTGAGGGTCTTTTGTGACTGGGAAGCAGTGCTCTCTTTGGAAAGCTGAAAAAGGTGATCATGCACTAGCTTCTGTATAAAACAATGACTGAGGATGGGTGTGCTGGCACAAGCTTATAGTCCCAACACTTAGGTGGCTGAAGCAAGAGGAATGCCAGGAGTTCAAAGTTAGTCTGACTGCATAGCAAGAGTC